ACAGCACAAATTTGCTCTTCAAGGAACCTTTCGCTATTACTGTCTCTTCCAAAATCTGGAACTTGTTAGACGATGAAGCGAATTTGATCCCAAAACTTGTTAACTCCTTCAAATTCGCTGAGAAGTCCAAAACGGTAGTTCTTATCTTCTATGCGAAGTTCTAAATTTATAAGTATTGAAATTTTAGGCTACATGGGTGGATTACAAGATATTTGACGGCGCTGTGGAAGAGCTGAAGATACCAAAGGATAGTGTGTCTGTCGAAGATATGGATAAGGGAATTCACATAAAGGTATAATTGAAAGCTTGGATTGTTCGAGTTTATTTATAGCAAAGTTTTATAGATGAGCAACATCAAATTCAAATGCTCCATGAAGGCAACGGTCAAAGTTGGAGTTTTTGCACTTAAAGCTGGTGTGACCAGCGACGTAATGTAGGTTTTCTCAACCAAAGGTTACATTTTAAAGTATGGGTAAACTTAACCCTCTACTACGCGTAATACTAGATAGTTAGGAAGGTTCGACGTGAGTTGTTCACAAAGTGCGGGTAACGCCTACTCTGCATATTCTGTAAATCAGAAGCCAGCATCAAAGAGATTACTTTAAGCTTTAAATGAATCAGTGCTTTTTTAGAGTGCAATCTAAGGATGCTGAGATGGATATAGCTCTTTACTGGGAGAACTTCGCTTTCAAACCTGCAGTTATGGTGAAAGCAAATCTTGACATCAAATATGATGGCATGCTGAATGCTGCTGGTTTCTTCAAAAAAGCCTTTGCCAAACAAGCAAAGGCATTTATTGAAGAGGGTCTTCCTGCGATGGTAGGTTTTTTGAGATCGATGTCTTTGACAATTGCTCAGACGAATTCTCCCAACATCTCAGTTGGTAGACCAGGAGCTTTCGCATCGTTTTTCATCAGTAGCAGACATATAAAGCTTATCAACTACATATTCAAATCATGAAAGATATTTGCTGAATTTTTGTAAAACTGACCATTAGTAAAGGAGTTGTTTGGGCTTTTTTCACTTATAGGTAATAGAGTGTTACATTCTTTGTCTTCAAAGATTCACCAAATTCAGTGAGTAGATGATTAAACCTAAACGCACTGACACTAAATCCGCAAGCTGTGAATATTGTTTTTCAAAAGACGTATCTCATTATTTTCTTTTTAGGAAGGTATCTAAGGAACGAAAGAGAGAGAGAGAATTAATTTATAAATCATCATCCTTTTCTCGATCTAGTACGAATAGGGCGGAACGAAAGTCAATTACCTTGTATCGAGATCTGCCGAGCATACCAAAATCATATAAGACATTCAGAGCGAAATTGCTCTTA